TCTTAAGTTTTTTCGATATTTTTTATTTATACAACTCGATTTTCTGCGTCGTGCTTTTCGATGTTTTCCCTTTCCACCTTTCTCCGCGTATTCCAGTCAGTGTAGTCGAAAATTTCAATATCTGCCAGAGCGTATAGTGGACATCTTTTGTTATAATGTTGTAACTCTATAGCATGAGGTCTTAGGAAACATCTAAACAAGGACAATAGAAATCATAAAAAGTTTATTATTAAGTGTAGTTGTAAAGAAAAGACAATCATTCACACTTTTAGTCTGCACGAAAATCATTCATAAAGAATTTTGATAAAGAATCTTCTTTTTTTGTTCTTTCATGATGATTAAAAAATAAAACTGGAAAAAAAGCCATTTGATATATGAGTATCGTCAATATCTTCGTCTTTCCATGTTATGTGAAAATTGGTAGGTATAGTATTAAACTCTTTGGGATATAGCATTTCATCATATTCTTCATCTGTATAATCATTCATATTATATTTTGCTGTTACATAATGTCTTACGGTCATCCATGCGTGTCGCTGTTCTTCGGTTGGATAAGGATCGTCTTTATCGGGAGCGGTTTTTGCCAAATTATCAAGATTTTTATACCATTGCAAATGTTTTTTATTATAATATAATCGTTTTGGATGAATTATCTCACCGTCGCCAGTATGAATACCGACAGTTGTCCATTGTTGATAACAAGAATGTAAATATGGTTTACGTGTTTCATAATAGTTTTGACCGTAGAATGCAGCCGGAATGTGATAATCATTCTCATGACTAATACAGTCAACGTACGTTACTTCAGGGCAGATGCATTCGTCTGTTGTACATTTGCAGTTTTCTGGTAGTAGTTTTACTTGTTCTGCTGAATGAAGACTTGGCTTGCTACATTTTACACCACATCCTGGACATGTATGTTCACAGCCAAGACGACGTTTGATGGTCAATTTACAGTCGTCGAACCCTCTTACTTTTAATAAATGTGATATAGCTTCTTTTTCAGATTTGCTCTGATCGGCGAAGACGGTCAATATATGTTTAAAGCCAAGTTGGAATTGTTTCGGATCTTTTATTGGTAAATTCATTTTAGGTTCGAGTTTAAACTCCATATCATTTTCTGCATGCTTCATTTTCTTAAGAAGATTTATTTCTGATATAGCATTTTCTATTGCATTATATGTACTATTTATGTCATCATAAGCATAACTTTGAATGGTATTATTGATTGTAATGAAAATTGTTGAAAGTAAATTATCTAAATAATTCGTATGCATACTGACAACATTACGAAATGTACCTAATACTTCTTCTAAACTTAATTCTAGTAGATATCGATTAATATCAAGAACATATTTTAATATATTTTCACCATTATTTTGTTGAAAACTTTGTTGATATGCATTTTTACGCATATGATCATGTATGATAAATTTGTTTTTCATCACATCTGATTTAACATCACGAAGGACTTGATTTAATAATAAATGTTTAACTTCGGCAAAAATTTGTTTCCCGATTTCTTCAGCTTCATATTGTCCTTGTTCAAATGAATTTTTCATTGATTCGAATTGTTTTTCAATATTGGTTTTCCATTCACGTAATTGATTTTCAGATTTTGTCAATTCTTTTTGATAATTATTCTCAGATATTAATGTTACTTCGGAAATTAATATTTTTAATGATATAATAACAAAATCAGTAACAAGTTCTGCAAGATTTAAATTCTTTTCAAAATCTTTAATTTCTTTCATACTTAAGGAATTCTCAACATATGAAATAACAGCATTGACTATTTCTGGATCATTATATGAAAGTTTTATCTCCATGATTAATTTTATAATATCCTTTTTTAATTTAGGTAATACTTCATTGAAAATACCTGATAGTATAGTACGATTTTTTTCTGCAGATTTTTTATTATTAAACCATTTTAATTTGTCTTTCAAATCAATCCAAATTCTATTCAAATCAGTTTGCCATGATGAAGAAAATAAATTATCATGTGGTATATCTAAAAATTGATTTATTTGTTTCCAACTGTGTTCAAATTTTTGACAATATCGTTTATATTGTTCAATATCTAATCTAGGTAAAAGATTATAGATATCACCAACTGTTGGATTAGCCGCCTTTCTATCATGTAAATTATTATAAAATTTTAATATTTTTTTAGTAATATCATCTTCTTTTTCATGTAAAACGTCCAATTGTTGTCGACATTCTTTTAGTAAACATTGATAATCATTTTCAAGATTCATTCGAAATTCATCTATGCCTATTGATTTATTTTGATTGAAATCTTCTTGAGCACGATCGATTAATTTTTGTTGTGCATATTTTACTAGTGCAGCTTGTGATACAAGATGTAGATTATCTTCAAATTGTTGTCGTGTCGATTGACAAATAAATCTTAATCGTGGTTCAATGATAATCTTTATTTTTTCTTTAATATGTGGTAAGTAGTATGACTTATTCGTTTTAAAAGCAAATTCTTTATAAGCTTGTTCAAGAATTTGTTGAAATTGCCGATTTAAAATCATGTTAAAATCCTCACTTGCATTTGAATAACCACCTGTTGTTGATATCAATTGGGAATTATTTTTTATATCGGCTATAGTTTGTTTTATTAATACTTGTCCATTATCATACATTTGATTATTTGCTTTTTGTATTATTTCTCTTGCAATATCTCGTACTTCATTCATCATAGCAAGTTCTAATAAATTTTTCGATGC